TGGTGGGATTCCCTGAGGATCCCCCTCCCAGCCGGATCCTGCCGGGCCCCGAGCTGGAATATTACATCCAGAGATTCCGGAAATCCGGCTTCAGGTGGGGGGGTGACCCTGGGCCGGGCTCTGTCACCCCCAAAATCACAGAAGGGGGGTGGGATTTCCCTTCCAGGCTCTTCCCAGTGGGATGATCCCGGCCTGGGGGGGAACTGGAGCCGTTCCCGGTCCGTTCCCAGCCCATTCCCACTTTTCCCAGGGGACCCCTGAACTGGTACCGGAACATCCGAACCAACTGGAACTGGGCCCTCTCCGCCAGGGACAGGAAGGTGGGAGCGGGATCCCCCCCATCCCTCTGGATCATCCCTGTTCCCTCTGGATCCCCCCTGTGTCCCCTTTCCCCTCTGGATCCCCCCATCCCTCTGGATCCCCCCTGTCCCCTCTGGATCCCTCCTGTCCCTCTGTATCCCCCTGGACCCTCTGGATCCCCTCTAGATCCCCTCTGTATCCCCCTGGAGCCTCTGGATCCCCTCTAGATCCCCTCTGGATCCCTCCTGTTCTCTCTGGATCCCTCCTGTTCCCTCTGGATCCCCGCCGTGTCCGTCTGGATCCCCCCTGTGTCCCCTGGCCCCTCTGGATCCCCTCTGGATCCCCCCTGTCCCTCTGGATCCCCTTTGGATCCCCCCTGTCCCTTTGGATCCCTCCTGTCCCTCTGTATCCCCCTGGACCCTCTGGATCCCCTCCTGTCCCCTCTGGATCCCTCCTGTCCCCTCTGGATCCCTCCTGTCCCCTCTGGATCCCTCCTGTTCCCTCTGGATCCCCGCCGTGTCCGTCTGGATCCCCCCTGTGTCCCCTGGCCCCTCTGGACCCCCTCTGGATCCCCCCTGTGTCCCCTTTCCCCTCTGGATCTCCCCGTCCCTCTGGATCCCTCTTGTCCCCTCTGGATCCTCCCTGTGTCCATCTGGATCCCATCTATGTCCCCTCTGGATCCCCTCTGGATCTCCCCGTCCCTTCTGGGTGTCCCCTCTGTCCCCTCTGGATCCCCCCTGTGTCCCCTTTCCCCTCTGGATCTCCCCATCCCTCTGGATCCCCCCTGGCCTTTCTGGATCCCTCTTGTCCCCTCTGGATCCCCTCTGGATCCTGGCTGTGTCCCCTGTCCCCTCTGGATCCCCCCCTAGATCCTCCCATCCCCTCCATGTCCCCTCTGGATCCCCCTGTGTCCCCTCCATGTCCCCTGGATCCCTGTGGATCCCTGGATCCTCCTCTATCTCCTCCATGTCCCCTCTGGATCCCTCTGGATCCCTGGATCCCTCCCATCCCTTCCATATCCCTCTGGATCCCCCCCATCCCTTCCATATCCCTCTGAATCCCTCTGGATTCCCTCTGGATCCCCCCTGTCTCTCTGGATCCCTGGATCCCCCCATCCCTCCCATACCTCCTGGATCCCCCTGGATCCCTGCAGATCCCTGGATCCCCCATCCCTCCCATACCTTCTGGATCCCCCTGGATCCCTGTGGATCCCTGGATCCCCCATCCCTTCCATACCTCCTGGATCCC